AAACAAAAAGATACAGAAACACTTCCAAATTAAAGGGACAGTGCAATTCATAATAATAAAAATAATAATAAATCTCAAGAAATGGCACGTTCCATCGAGAACCATAAAGTATAGCTATGAAAATGAAAAAAATAAAAAATAAAAGAAATATAGTCCGTCAATAGCCAGTTCTTTTATCAAATCATAATGAAGACTGTTCACCATTCCTGAGGCTCATGTTAGACTATGAAAATTATATTCACTATGAAAAAACAAACCGTCACCACCTGAGGTGGTCCCATACAAGTCTTCCCAGGCATGTCATGTCTCTACTTAGCCCTCTCTCCTTTCCCTCATACCTATTCATGGTTTAGAATTTACTTCACTTACAGATACAGTTTGTTTTCTGAAACATTTGACATTTCCTTCTTCCTTTACCAATATTTTTAAAACTAAGTACTGAAAGTGATCTTTTTTTGTTAATAAATATAGTCCTAAATATCTTTGAAATTAATCTTTCAGGTCGGATAACCATTTTACCTTCTCATTAGATATTTAAATATATTTCCCCCTCTGGAGTATCTTCTGCTTTTCTTAACCACTTAAAAATGCTAAAATGTATGTTTTTCTTTAATATGGACATAGTATCTAATAAAGCAGAAGCCTCACTCACTTTATCTTAAATATGAATCCAGATATCACCTCTTAGCAACCTTTTATTACTAGTTCATAGGCTGGATCTACCAAAACTGTGAGCCACCACCAACCTGATTGTAAAAGACAACACTATAGACTCTGTAGGTAATAATTCATCAGCAAGGGAAAACCTCCAGAGAAGAACTAGGGAACTTGTTATTATGTGTCTCAGTTACTTTTCTCTTGTGACAAGACACCACAACCAAAGCAACTAGAAGAAAGAATTTATTTGGGGCTTACAGTTTCAGAGAGTTAGACTCCATGAATGTCATGGCAGGAGGGAACGCAGCAGCAGGCAAGCAGGTATGGTACTGGAGCAGTAGCTGACAGCTCACAACTTCAGACATAACCCAGATGCAGTGAAAGCTAACTGGGAATGGTGTGGGCTTTTTGAAATGTAAATCTGGCTTCCAGTGGCACACCCCCTCTGACAAGGCCATACTTCCTAATCCTTCCGGTACAGTTCCACCAAATTGGAAGCAAACATTCAAATAGAACCTTTGGGGCCATTCTTCAAACCCCTACATCATGTCCACTAACACAGGGAGTAAAGGTTACATAGTGTTTTTCACTTTACAAATTATATAGCAAAGTATCATTAGCTATATCTCATGACCATGGACTGATGAATGCCATTTCTGAAGTTTCTGTTAAAATGCACATTTAGAGCAGAATCATTCCCATTCTTATGCTAAAACATGGGGATGGAATTGAACTTTTGATCTGAAGACTCTTTAATGGAGAAATGCTGTTGTGTCTGGACACACTGAAATGTTATTTATGGTTTTGCAATATTAGTACATTCTAATAAAGAGATAAATTTAATCTTAGATTTTTATAATAGTATTTTAAAATGTGAAAATTTATATCAGATAATGTATTCAATTTTGTGGACATAAAAATACATTAAAAAGAAAGGACAAGAGACTGAAAACTTCTAGAGTGAGTTATATACACATATCACGTAATGTAAGACAGTTTAATAGTGTTCACATTTAAAGATGACTTTAATATACTAAAGGCCTGTATATAAAAATATTAATATAAAAATAAAGCAAGTATAATTCTTTTAGATGTTAAATCTGAGCATTTTCTGTTGAGAAGTTCCCCTAATCAAGCATAAGAAATATTTATTCGCTTTTTTTTTTTTCTAGTCTTATCTAATAGTCTAATAGCTAACAAACACATGGCATATAGTGAGAGTGGCTTTTATAGCTTTGTATCATGTCTCCTCTTCCTTTTTTGCGGGACAGCATCTGACTGTGTAACCCTGGTTGACCTCAAACTCAGGAGTCTTTTTGCCTATGCTTCTTGTGTGCTGAGATTAAAGGTATGTGTCACCATGCCTGGCTTTCTTCTTACCATTTTTTTAGTATCCATTCTTTGAAATATTGTTGCCTAATTTCTTATGGCAGGCAGTAAGTATAAAAAAAAAAGAGAAAGAAAAAAAAATAAGCCAGCATCTATGCCAAACTGGATAATGTATTTGGAAGAACAAATAGTACATATATTTTAAATGTTTATTTTTTTAATGTGACACCTTCAGCATCAGAGCCATACACGTTATGTTCCCTCATCTTGTAAGACATAATGTAAACATGTGTTCACTAAGTCTTTTTTTTACAAGTTAGCCTCACACTGAAACTACATACAAATTTACTGAGAGCCTGGACAAATCATGGTCAATTCAACAAGACTAAAATCTCTAGTGTTCATGTTCATTCTAAATCATACTTCAGTCATGAAGTGTTTTATTATTTAAGGTAGTGTTTCAGGGAATACTTCAATATGTAACTGATTGAAGACATAGTACTTCCCAATCAGTTACAGCTCAAGTGCTTCATTACTTTTAGTAAAACTAAAACTTGATAGGCAAAAGGAAAGAATTTTGATCATGTTTGAACAGGCCAATTGACAATTTTAAATTGAAAAACAAGGAAAAGAAACAGAAACCTTCCAATGATTTTTTAAAAATTTAATGCGCACCTGTGAGCACACCTCTGCTTCAGTGCTAAAGAGAGGGAACAGAACAGGTGTTGGTCTTTGCCTTTCTCCTTGCAAGGTCTCATTTGCCACTATTTTGTTCATCATATACACTGCTCTGCACAGCTTCCTGGAATGATTCTCTCAGCTTCCTCTCATGTGTAGGAGTAATGGCATCACAGACCTGCTCTATCATGTGCCAGGTTTTTATAGAGATTCTAAGATCTGAACTCGGGTCTTCATGCAGGCTTTCATGATAAGCATGTTCGCACTGAGCCCCATCTCCAGTACAGTTCAGATTTTCATTCCTGAGGAGAACTCAGCTGGAAGTGTGCCCATCTCCATGCCTGAGGCCCTGAACATAATCCCACGTACCACATAAACTGGGCTTACAGATACATGCTTATGATCCTAGTACTCAGGAGATAGAAGAGCAGATATCAAGGTCATCCTGTTACACAGCAAGTTAGAGGGTAGTCTAGGTTAAAGACCCTGCCTTAACAACACAAACAGTTTACTTCAACACAATCTTATCTATCTTCCAATTTAAATAGGTAACTGTGGTCAAACAACCTCTGTTCTTTATTCTGACATTAATTCCCTAGTGTTAATTCATTCTGAAAATTTCACTCAACAATGAAATAGATGCCTTTACTATTACCTCACTGACTTGACAAATCTGTCTGAGGTAGTCTTAATTCCTAGGCCTTCCTTTATAGTCTTCTATACTATACACTAAAGTAAAATAATACATCTTTTTTAGTATTCATATCTTAACCAAATTTTACAAAGAAGAAATATGGCCATCTAAACAAGTTTGTCAGTTTGTTGAAAGCATGTAACTGGTCCAAGGTCTGTCTAATGTTTGGATTCTAAAGAGGATCTCTGGATTTTGAAGGATAAATTAACCTTTCTTAAGTGAGAAACAAGGAAATGTGAATAATACAAGCTTAAAGAAAAACCCCACTGGATTACTGTTGTGACTGTATAAACAGCATGTTCTGAGTAAGCAAATAGTGTGTGTGTGTGTGTGTGTGTGTGTGTGTGTGTGTAGTGAAACGGAGAGAAGAACCTAGACACCCAGAGACCACTATCTCTGGGTAGACTTTCTATAATGCTGGGGGTGTTTAGCAGAGGCTTATTTAGTAAGACAGATCAGACTAATCCATGTTCTAGAAGACCTGTAGTCTGATGTCTTTTATTCTAGGATATGCCTATTTTTTTTAAAAGCAGCTAGGCTGGGACTGATAAATTCTCTGCTGACTACAGGGATTACTGGGAATGTTAAACTCCAAAACAGGTGCAGTAAGGAGATACCTCTGAATGTCCCCAAGTTGATCACAAATTAAACAGCATGCCCTTAACAATAGTGCCAGGAAGACAGGCAATTATAATGTATATAGACAGCATTGGATCTCTACAGTCCATGTGAATGTGTTTTCAACAAACATGAAATACATTAAATTAGGGAAAGACTTATTTTTCTTAAAATTCTATTATCAAAGCCATGTAGAGTAAAAAGAATGAAGACAAGACAATCTGTAATGTATACAGGCTTTGGAATAAAAAGGAAATAAATGTATTTAGTGATGTACATACCTTACTAAACCTCAGATATGTAGTTATTCATTTTCTACTTTACGTACTTTAATAAGTTCATTCTCTGATGCAATGCAGAAACAAATTGCTGAATAAAAATTAGGAAATTAGAGTATTAAAATTTCACTGACTTTCTATGTCTAGACTTACCATCTTTTAACAAAAGGACAGTTTTAACATTTGGAATATTTAAAAAAATCTTTATTTAACTAAAAACCATAGATATATTTTTTTAATTAGCATGAAAGTCTGTATTGGACTGATTTAAGTGAAAAGGCAGTTTTTAAGTAAAGTATTTACCTAGGTGAATGGCACCTGCTTGTAATCCCAATACTCAGGTAAGAGGATCACAAGTTTGAGGTTAGCCTGGGCTACACAGTGAGACCCTGTTGCAGAACAAAACAAAACCAGCATGTTAACCTGTATTGCTCCCTAAACGCATGCATCTTTAGTTTGAAGATGAAACTGTAAGAGCAGCTTCTCCATTCTCATTCATTGCAGGCATTACAGGCTGCTTTCTTGAGATGGAACATTGGCAAAACTTGTGTCTCCTGACTCAATATTTGAAAACCAACTGCCTTTGACAGTGTTATCAACTAGAAAGAAAGAAGAAGAAGAAGAAGAGAGAGAGAGAGAGAGAGAGAGACAGAGAGAGAGAGAGAGAGAGAAACACTGTGTTTATGCTTTAGAGGTGGGGGTGTCTTTTCTCTTTTCCATGACTGACAGGGAAAGAATGAGGCAGCTTCAAGTTAAAACTACAAATGTTAATCAGTAGTTTTATAAAATATTAAAAACTAGCTAGAATTACATGTGTAGATATTTAATCAGGAATAACAGAAGAACTTAAATACAGGATTTGCCAACAATAAACATTTTAGTGCAAATAGTGCAGAAAAAAAATCTCTCAAAACAAATATACCAATCATTCTAATCTATACAAAATCAGTCTCTGTCATGTACATAATTTATAGAGGGAATCTGGATTTCAGCCATGGTCATGAAATGCCAATTTGTAAGTCATAAATATAAAACAATGTGCTTAGTTTTGGGTCCCATTTCTTTCTTGATTCATGTTTTCTGGAAAATCTGAAATGAAAAAAATTTAAACTTCAGATTTAAGATATTAACTCTCAGTCCTTTATACTGTTTTCTGGTTTAGATTTACTATTAACTTGACTGGGAGGAAAATATTGCAGTTACTTCTTGAACACAAAAAGTACAAAAATAAGCTCAATTTAGAAAATAAGATCCAAAAATTTCAAAGTTGGTAGTAATGCAATTTGAACTAAAGATGAGAAATGCCTATCATTTCCTCTCTTTTCAAGGAATCCCCCTTGTGCCTCCTTAAAGTGGTTCTTTCAGTCCAGATGGCTGGGTGCTGGACAACATGGTTCTTATCTCTAGCCAAGCTGATTAGGCTAGAGGAGATAATTTCCTCTATCTCTCCTAAGGATTTGTACTACAACTTGAGAGGCTGCTGCGGGCAGTAATGGATGATGGGCTAAGGGCAAAAAAGGGCTGCTGATATAGATCACTTCTAGAAGGTTTGCACAGCACATGGAAAGCAATGGAACTGACCGCAGGGTCCAAACACAAAAACAAGACTCAGAAAGGAGAGGATGCCAACCTGAAAAAGAAGAGCTGTTTGGGTTCCACTCTCAGTGACTGGGCTATCTTTCCTCATTTTGGCTCCAGGAAGTGTGTATGTATTTCCCGTTAATAACAAGCTCATATTTAAGGTTGCTTGGGTATGTGGTGGTTTGAATGAAAAATGCCCCCCATAGGCTTGGATATCTGCACACTTAGTGCTGTTTAAGAAGGTGGTGCAGCCTTGCTAGTGTATCACTATGGGTGAGCTTTGAGAGTCTGTAGTCTCCCTGTACTAAAAATTTGCACTCTGCTTCATGTTTGTGCTTGAATATGTGATCTCCTTGCTTCCTGCTCCAGCTGTCTGATTCTATGCCTCCCTCATCATTATGGACTCCCCTCAGGAACCATAAACACAAAATCTTCCACCTAAAACTTGTCTTGGCTGTGGTATTTTATCACATCAATAGAATTAATATAGGGCATTAGTTTCTTTTGTAAACAAAATACGCCTAAAACAAGGAGAGAGAAGAAAGGAAAGAGACTGAGGGCTCTAGGGGCATGGATGAGTAGATGGTGATAGAATGAGAAACCTTAGGGGGAAACACAAAACTTTCCTTAAGGACACTGTCACACAAAAAATACTAAAAGGCTTTTACTGACTATAGGCTTACTTATACAGTGGTGTGTTTAATATACAATTGTCAGCATTTTGTCATATACAACAACTACAATGACAGTGTTAACAGGCCCTGTTAAGAACAATTCAGTTAAGAATACTTGGTAATAGCCTTGAGATACTAGCTGGAATGCAATTTACCTATAGAGGAGTATGAAATTGGCTGTGCATTGCAATCACCTGGTGAAGCTTCTCTTCTTTAGCTCTTCTACAGTGGCAAATCTAGAAGACAAATTATTTAAAATACCAGTCACTTTTTCCAGGCTTCCTACATTATGACAGAATTCCAAGTAAGAGTATTTTAATTAACATTCCTTTAAGTTTATAACATTGAAAATAGCAAATAATTCCTCAGAATTTAGGAATCCAGAAAAACACTGAACTTTGTTTGAAAACAATCTTTGACTATAAACTTCCCTAATGTTAGTTTCCAACTAAACCCTTCCCTTGTTAAGCATGGAAGATTAACAACCAAAACGTCAATGTAGCTATATAGTATAGAATAGGTCAGAACTAATTTCTTACTAATACTATAAAGATAGGCAAGTTACTAACCATCTCTGAATTTCAATTGTCTCTCATGAAAGAGACAATTGAATAAAATTTGCCTTGTCTGCTTTAACATGCTACATACACATAAAGCATACACTGACACAAACACACCCCCACACAAAGATTTCATAAACCATTAAATATCAAACAAATATGATTGTTTCAGAGATTCTAGGTATTTAGGCCTAAATTAATAGGCCTAAATAAATAACTTGTTAACTAGATTGTTTTCCTTGAATACAATGAAAACACTACTAGAATAAAAGCTGTTCTACTATTATTTTTTAAACATTTCTATAGGTTATTCTGTATTTAAGCAACTTATAAAATAGTTGGTTTTTTCAGGAGAATATTATAGCTGTTAAGATCAAACTAAGCTGATTTGCAAGCTCCTATACAATGCTACAGATACTATTGTTTCTGAAAGAGAACTATCATTAGATTACCTGGTTATGTACTCAGAACTAACAGGTTTAAAGCGACAGTAGGGTGCTGCTATCCTTCCCCAAAGAGGCTTTTCAGAGTCCGCTCAGTACTCAAAACTCCAGCTTGGTTATGTGTTAAAGATTTTTACTTATGAACAAACTTAAGAAACTGGATATTATGTTGTCACTCATCCTCAATTGAAGAGTATTACATACTGTTCTCTTTTCCTTGAAGCTACTGAGAAAATCATCTATTTCAGTTTTTCCCTCCAAGAAGTCTTCGGCAATATTATCAGACTCTTCCTCAGCTTCATGTGCAGCTACTTTCAATCTTGCCTGTAGGGCACTTGCACTACAGCTCTGTGAACAAACATACAAGCAAACAAAACTCAAGCACTGCATTAGCTTATAATTCTCAGATAAGCTATAGGCAAGGAAAATGAGGCAGAGATATGGAAAACAATGTTCACATTGGATACTTAGAGAGATATAACGCCTTAGTTAGGGTTTCTATTGCTGTGATGGAACACCATGACAAAAACAAATAAACAATTGGGGAAGGAAATGTTCACTTAGCTTACACTTCCATATAACTATTCATCATTAGAGAAAGTCAGGACAGGACTCAAGCAGGGCAGGAGCCTTGAGGCAGGAAATGATGCAGAGGCCATGGATGCTAACTGGCTTGTTCTTCATGGCATATTCAGCCTGCTTTCTTATAGCACCCAAGCCCACTGACTGGACCACTGGAGCCAGCAGCCACAATGAGCTAGTAGGCCCTCTCCCATCAATCAGTAATAAGAAAATGTACTACAGGTTTGAGTACAGCCTAATCTTATGGATGTATTTCCTCTACTGGGGCTCCCTCCTCTCTGACAAATATAGTACATATCAAGTTGACATACAGTTGATAAGTACAGATACCAAATACAGAAGAAACTAAATCAAAAGCTATAAACTATTAAATGAGAAACTGGTAAACCATTATTATACCCTGGATATTTTGAAATTAAATCACTGTGAGAATACCGACTCAGATCACCCAATGACCCCACTTCCTTGTATTCCTATTGCTGTCTATACAGGCTAGACCAAAGGCTGCTTCTATAGCCATAGAAACAGACAATGTGCACACTGAAAACATTGCTGAAATAAAAAAAAAATAAAGATAAATAAGTGGCCATACCTTGGAAAGCTTAGATGATTTAATACTGTTATGACAATGCTAACAACCCCAAAGACCTACAAGATCAATGCAATTGATTCATATAACATCTCACAAGACTCTGAATACCCAATCCTTTTCCAGGGTCTAGCCTGGTGAGTCTGCATAAAACACACACACACACACACACACACACACACACACACACACACACCCCACACACACACACACACACATCCTGTATACCAGTCCAGTACTCTCTGTCCCCATGACTTCATTTCTCCTAAGCCATTTCCAATCTCAAGCCAAACCCAAAACTTACATTCCCTCTATCCTAACATGCTCTTATTATATCAGACTTAGAACTAACAAAAGAAAGCCAGATCTTATCACAAAATTACATAAAAGAAAGATCAAGCCAGTATCTTCTTTCCAAACCTACCAGTCCTGTAGAAATGGTTGCCAATGAGAATTACCTAGATGAACCCCAGGGTACAGAATTTAAAAGACAAAAGAACTTAAAGAAGACACAAAGAAATAGCTCAGTGAACTTAAAGAGAAGGAACGTACATAAAAAGAATAAATGCCTGCCTAAGTGATGCGCAAGAAAACACAAATGTAAGGCTAGAGGAAATGACAAAGACAATCCAACACTTGAGGAAAGAATTCAGTCAGAAGATAAAAACACTGAAGAAGACTAAAGCTGAAATCAAAATGGAAGTAAAATACCCAATTATTAGAAAACTTAAAGGAACATTTTAAAAATAGAATAAATCAAGCAAAAGAATATCAGGATCTGTGCTGGTTGGTCTTATGTCAACTTAACACAAACCACAGTCACCTGAGAGGAAGGAGCCTGAATTTAAAAAGTACTTCCGTATTATCGAGCTATAGGCAATCCTATGGAACATTTTGATAGTCTTAATTAGCCATTGTGGGTTGGCCACTCCAATCAAAAGACACAGGCTGATTAAGTAGATCAGGAAACAAAGTCCATCTACCTGTTGTATCTGAGGAACACATTTTAGCTTTAGAGAGGCACATTCTTAAAGTAAAAGGATAAATAAAACCACTCCATGTAAATGGAACCAGGAAGCAAGCAGGCATCTCTATCCTAACATTTGACAAAATACTACAACTACTCACAAGAAGTAAATAAGGAGGGACACTTCATTCTACTCGGGAGAACAGTTACCTAAGATGCCACTGGTATCCTAAACATACATGTGTCAAACTTTGGTGCACGAAATTTAATTAAAAATATACTCCTGAATTTAGAGACACAAACTGCAATTAACCTATTATTAATAGGTGGTTTCCATACTCCACTTTCTCCAAACATCTGGAAAAATAAACACAAAAACAAAAGATTTAATTGCCCTCATACATCAAATTGATGTAACAGGTAGCTACAGCATATCTTACCCTACCACCAAAGAATGCATTTTCTACTTTGCAGCGCAGGGGCAGGGAAAATTTTCTGAAAACAAACTCATCCTGGGATACAAAACAAATCCTTACAAATTCAAAGAAACCGAGTCACTCCTTGTATCTGAATACAATGCTATAAAACTTAAAACTGATAGCAAATAAATATGTAGTACATACACAAACCCATGGAAATTGAACAACACATCATTGAATGATGAATGGTTCAAAGAAGAACTCAAGACTGAAAAAAAAAAATTCCTAGAACTAAATGAAACTGAAGATACAATACAATAAAGCCTCTAGGACACATTGAAAGCTGTCCAATAAGGGAAATTTATACTACACTAAAATATCAGGAATACATTAAGTGACATGATACAACTCAAAAATTTGTAAAATCAAGAACAAACCAAATCCAAACCTAGCTAACAATAAAAACCAGAGCATAAATCAATGAAATGGAAACAAAATAATGCAAAGAATCAACAAATCTAAGAGCTGATTCTCTGAGAAGATAAATGAGACTGACAAACCCCTGTCCAATATACAAAAAAGAACGAGGGCCCAAAGCAACAGAATCATCAATGATAAGGAAACATTACAACAGACTCCAAAGAAATTCAAAATATTATAAGGGAATATTTTTAAATGAAAGAAATGAATTAGTTTATAGATTCAGACAAACCATCAAAATTAAACCAAAGAGTTTATGAAGAAAAAAAAGTAATAAGAAAACCTACCAGTTAAAAGAGGTCCAGGACCAGATGGATTCATAGCAGAATTCTACCAGACATTTGAAGATCTACAAACAATCCTTCTTTTTTCAAAGAATTGAAACAGAAAGAGCACTCTAATATGCCTTCATAATAAAAGTCCTACAGAATGTAGGGCTAGAGGGAGCATACCTTAACACATAAAAGCTATATACAAGAAATTCACAGTTTTAATATTACTATAAGCCAACAAAAGAGCCAGAGGAAGACACTAGAAAGTGGAAATACATCCATGATTATGGATTGGTAGAATTATGAAAGTGACCACTTTATCAAAAGCTATTTACAGATTCAATGCAATCACAATAAAAATCCCTATTTATTCTTCACAGGAATAGAAAAACAAAACAAAACAATCCTAAAATTCGTATAGGGTCACAAAAGACCTGGATAGTGAAAACAATCTTGAGCAAGAACAACAATGCTGGAGGGACTATAATTCCAGATCTTAAGATATATTACAGAGCCATAATAATAAAAACAGCATGATAGTGGCCCAGAAGCAGACATGTAGATCAATGGAACAAAACTGGAGATCAAAATAGTATGTGTAACAAGGGAAACTAGATGCCTACGTGTAAAAGAATGAAATTAGACCCATAACTACCTCTTTGCACTAAAACTAACTCAAAATGGATCAATGAGCTAAACATAAAATCTGAAACACTGAAACTGCTATAAGAAAACATTGGCAGAACCCTACCTGATAACAGGTGCAGGAAAGGATTTTCTGAATAGGATTCTATTTGCCCAAGAATTAAGGTCAACAACTTGACAAGTGGGATTTCAAAAAATTAAAAAGCTTCTGTGTGGCTAAAGAAACAATCAACTGGGTAAATATAAAGCCCAAAGAATGGGAGATAAATCTTTGCCAACTGTACTTCTCACATAAAGAACTCAAAAATGAAGCTGGGTGTTGGTGGCACACGCCTTTAATCCCAGCACTCAGGAGGCAGAGGCAGGCGGATCTCTGTGAGTTCAAGGCCAGCCTAGTCTACAGAGCTAGTTCCAGGAGAGGCTCCATAGCAATACAGAGAAACCTGTCTCAAAAAACTGAAAAACAAAACAAAACAAACAAACAAAAAAATCATCAAAAATGAAAGAGTCAAAAAAAAGCAGTGGCCCTTTCAATAAATTGGCTTGGAACATGAACAGAGTTCTCCAGAAGGGAAAAAAAGGAATGTCTAGAGAAAAATTTACTCTAATAAAAATGAATTTTTAATAGCCATCCTAAAGTGCTATGGGGTGGTACATTACTGAAATATTGTTGCAGGTATGTACAACAAATAACATTTTCTTATCACCCACGTTACCTATTTTTTTAAAGACACATTTTGTCTGTGAAAAAAAAAAAAAACAAACTAGAATTTAATACAACCCTCATGTATTTCCATTATTTATTCATTAAACATTTATTTGTTAGTGCCAAGCATTGGAACACACAGTGGGTAATAAGGAGACAGGTAATCAAAAGTCTACTGACTTAATTTTCATACTTTAAGTGTGCATCACTAGAAATTCCTGGTTGAGCGTATTTCCAGGAACTCAGCAAGTGAAGGGTCTCTTTGTTTTATATTTTTAAGTATTTCAAGAATCATCTTAAGCCAGTTGGTGGTGGCACACACCTTTCATCCCAGCACTTAGGAGGCAGAGGCAGGAGGATCTCTGTGATGTGAGTTTGAGGCCAGCCTGGACTACAGAGCAAGTTCCACATCAGCCAGGGCTACATGAAGAAACCCTGTTTCAGGGGAAAAAAAGAACCTTAAACCATTCTACAGTTCTTACATAAACGCCAGAGGTTAACAAAAATGTTAAAGCTAAACAGTATTGGTGGCAGGGATACAACTGCATCCTTACAAAGGATTGATAAGTGTTCTATTTCTTAGTTCAAAATCAGAATTCTTTTGGTTTTCCTTTGCTGAGTTTTATTTGCTAATTTCTCGTTTGTTCTTTATTTCCCACTGGCAATATTTGTGTTGTCCATATTACATGTGTTCTTTTTTTTAATCTTCACTCTCAATTTTATTATTACTACATATAAAGTTTAAATTTATATATTTAAATGTGAACATTTTCCCCTCTATGCTTTTGTCTTCTATTACAACTGGAAAACTGGTTGTTTCACATAAAAAAAATCTTTTTAAAAACTTCTAGGAATTAACTAATTATTATACTTTCTACTAAGACTCTGTGTAGTATCTTTCTATTTTCTGTATGATATGATCTTTATAAGGTTTGATATAAAGGATAAGATTATCTCTTATTGGACACTAAACCAATTACATAATTTGTTGAATCCTGAATTTTTTCCAGTTATTGATCACATACATGAATCTATTTTTGAATTGCAACCTGTTACATACAACTATTTTTATCTTCCTACAAAACTACTACATCATTTTAAATTAGGTTATACAGTATATTTTGGTATTGAAGAAGGCATGTTTTTTCTCATTCCCTTTTATTTGTTTAACTCCTTCCTGATTACTTTAATCCATTCAGACTTTAAAAAAAAAAAAATCTGTTAAAAATTTTAAAAACGTATTTGACAGACTGATTGGAAATACAAAATTTGTAAGTCATATTAAAAATCAAATCTTAAGAATACTCTTTCACTGATATTTTATGTATTCTAATTAAAGAATATAAGTATTCTTTTACATCAATTAGAGGTTTCCTAACATGTCAGGGGGTTTTCTCTAAGTATTTTACAGTTCTGTTTTTATCGTAAATGAAGGTTTTTCTGTTTTTCCATACCTTGTTTGGTAACAGCAATTGATGAAATGTAAAAGTTCTGTCATGTCTCTAACATTCCATTTATTTTCTGGTAACAATTGTCTTCTTGTTCTTCTATAGTGTGTGTGTGAGTCATCCTCCTTATTACAATGTTGGGTACTTCCCAAGCAATGACAGACAACAGGTAGGGTGTTTTAAGTGCGATGATCACTGGGGGTTCCTAGTGACTTTTATTAAATCAAAAGAATACTATGTAGCTTTAGTTAGTAAGGGCTAGTAGTATATACTACTTTCCTTATTTGTACTTGCTGGGGCTTTTCATATTCTTAGGGTTTTAGAACTAAATAACTCTTGTATGGACATGAACTCCATGTTTATAGGTTTCAGCTTTATAGAGTCAGGTGGGCAATAAACAGTTTCTGATGAAGTGAAAGCAAGGGAAGTGACCAAGCACCTGCATATTAGCAGCTCCCATGAGGACCACAAATAACTAGTCATACCTCACTGAGTTCATGTTGTCTTTGCATCTTCTTTTCAAAAGTAGATTTCATTTGTATAAGTAATTCATACTAAAAGAAAACATAAAATTGCTGTTTAATTTGATTTTTGAACTGTAAAAATGTCTTAAAAATGATCAGTAACTCACCTTATCTAAAACGGTTTGCCTTTTGGTTTCCAAGCTATGCTCTAAAAGGAGATTTTTTCCTGTAAGATAAATCTCTGGCTTATTTCCCAACATAGACCATATTTTTTTATCAGAACTTATGAATTAAAGCAAAAGGAAACATACTTGCTAATTCCTCGATACTTTTTACAAGGTCTTCCTTGTCAGCAATAATTTGCTTTAGTTGAGGCAACATCAGGAACTGTTCTAGTAACACCTCTTCCTGTTCATTCATGTCTGTGAGCTGTGACACACTAAGACACAAAAGAAAAAGCAAACTGTTATTAAATATCACTCATCTAGTTTTTCTTCGTGATAATAAATGTTCAACTTTCCAACTTGACCTGTGTGATGGCTAGTTTTATGTGACAAACTAGAATCACCTAAGAAGAGGAAACCTCAACTGAGAAAATGCCTTTGTAAGACTACTATGCCTATAAGCTGTAGGACTGATTGATGTGGGAGGGCCCAGGCCAATGCAGAGCTTAAAAAAAAAAAAAAGGAACCTGAAGAAAACTGAAGCCATAGAGAGCAAGCCTGATTCATACCCACAATTCCCAACAGAGTTGGACAGAAGAGCATAGAAACGAGTCAGAACCATGTGGACGATTACAAATAATGGAGGCTGATCACACTTTTATTTCTCTTTCTGTAGTGTTGATGTTTTCGCAAGTTTTTTATAGTAGGTCAACTTTTAAAAAGGAGAAAAGAAAAATAGTCTTATTTCCTGGCAGTTAAACATTATAATGCATACCGAACCCATAAATTATATGTAACACATCTTTTCTGTCATGGGACTTGCATTCTTTAAAAATTATTTCTATGTTTACCCATGAACTAAAATACTGGATCAAATAATGTCAAACTTCATTTTTTTTTAAACATAGGATTGTTCACAGGCTTTAATCTGTATAATCTTTGTAGAATATAGTCCAAAGACACAAAGTTACAGAAAATTCTTAATTGCATTCAATGGGTACCACACCAAAAATGCTTTATGTGTAGCACATCATACATTATATGAAAAATGGTACCTTAAACCTGAACCCTGCCACCTTATCTACTATAAATCTGAATAAGAGTCTGGCTTTAAAACTAGTTTTAGATATTATGATAACTTTAGTCTACTCATCTATACACAACATCAATCTACTAAGGGAACAGTGAAAGATATATTTTGAAATTATCAGAATCTAATATATTCACAAATAATTCTCAAAGACTGCAAGTTACCAGAAAGAAAAGAACTTTTGGTAATTATTATATCATTCTTGGCATCTAGAGCAATCATTAGATATAAACAAGTCATGTTACAATATATCATACTAAAGCTGATTTATGCTACTTACCCACTAGGACAACCACACTAAACGAACAGTAAAAAACTTTTAAATCATTTTACTTCATTTGAATACAAAACCATAAATAAAATAGACAAGACCATCTTTACTCTTCAAGTTTGTTACCTTAGTTCTGAAAGTTCTGGAAATGCATCAGGGATATCCGGCATCTTATAACCAAAACCATTTTGGTTAATCTAAAGAAGAGTTTTAAAGAATATTAAATCTCAGCTATATTTTTGATTGGTCCCATCTATCTTATATAAACTTTAACGTACTGCATCTATTAGTGCTTTCCCTATCACAACTTCGTCTTTGCTCCTCACATGTACATATATTTCCTTTCTATCAGTCTATTTCTCAATGTACTTTGAATACTATTCGATAGGGTCTTACCATGTAGCTCACCCTGAACTTGAACTTACTAATTAGTTCAGGGTGATGTGGAACTCTACCTACCTATCTTCTCTTCCCAAGGGCTAAGCTCTGTATATGTGCCTCCATTTTCAATGTACTGTTATACATATGAGTTTATCTTTTCTGATGGGGAGGGGGTTCAGCCTTCAAAGAGCCTGTATTATTAGCCTGTGTGGAAGTGTATGATTATAAAATAAATCTCTTAAGAGCATCTGTAACAGGTATAGAGAATTATCTGTGGATTTCATAGATGTAAATGAATAACTTCTTTCAAGTAAAAACATTAAGCATACATTGCTAAACCGCCAGCATCCTGAGTAATTATATATTTAAGTCAAATATGGTAATAGGATAGATGAAGAACACTACCAATTTGAATATTTATGAGGTTTATGTATTAAGACACCCAAAATTTTTCCCTAACATTTTTAATACATTAATTATCGTTTGTTGCCAAGTATGGTGGCAAATGCCTTTTATCCCAGCACTCAGGAGGCAGAGGCAGGCAGATTTCGGTGAGTTCAAGGCCAGCCTGGTGTACATAGTGAGTTCCAGGAAAGCCAGAGCTACCTAGTAAGACCCTGTCTCAAAAAAAAACAAAAACAAAAACAAACAAACAAAAAACAATAAGTGATAGTTTATTCAAAATGATGACAAATTTTGGAAAAACAAAATCTATTGGTTTGTATTCTTAATGATTATAAACTGTAAAATCAGCAATGTTAAACGTAATGTATATGTATAAATATATTTTTATATATTTGTGTTTGTGTGTATGCATATATATGTGAGTACAGGTATAGGTGTGTGTGCAGGCCAGAGATCAACACTGTGTGCCTTTCTCAATCAGTTCTTTTTTGTTTTTCAGAAGACAGGGTGAGGATGGGGGACAAAACAGGGTTTCTCACACAACCAATTATTTGGCTAGTTTGGATGGCTAGCAAACCCCAGGAAATCTTGTATCTAATTTACCAGTATTGGGATTATAGGCATGGAATAACATGCCTGGATTTTTATGGTAGGTGCTGGGGATCTGAACTCAGTTCTTTGTGACTACATGGGCTTTAATGCCTGAACCATCACGTCAACCTCCAAATCTACAGATAAACTGTACGCACATAATATTGGTCTCTTTTTTTCTATAATACCTTACATGAGTACAGCTATCAGTTTCACTCATGAACATATGATTTTTAGGTCAATAAAATGTTGGAAACCTTCAGCATGCTCCAACAGACCCTCTTTGATTTGACACCTGCTTCTCCCAAATAATCATTGTGTGCCTTGTCCAATATATCCTACATGTAACAGATCTATTACAGGCACCTGGCATATAGTGCAAAGCCTCTGTCAATGTTTTCAATCATCTAGTGCTTTGTACCTCTTGTTATCCTCAAAATTTTATAACCATCTTTAAAAGTCTGTCTGGCCTCAAGCATAAATTCATCTATCTGTCTGTTTATCTGCCTCATTTTCACTGAGCAGCTACTGTGTGCAGTCTGAAGAAAAAAAAAAAAAAACTGGACTGATATTATTTACCTGCTTCTTCTATTTGGTCTCTGGGGGGGCAATAACTTCAGTTATCTCCCACAACTCTACACTATCTATCTCTACAAGTTCTATATTTGCAATTCTTTATTGGTTACCTTTTTGAGTTTTTTACGTGAGATAAGTATGATTTATCTTTTATTTCACGCCTATCTTAGCAGATGGACATAATAAATGATAGCTGACTGAATACCTATTTCACAGGTACAAAATATAGACTTCTGAAGATACCAACCGGCGCTGAAGATTCTGTTGTGGGAACAGGTAAAGGCAGACTTGAAAGGATGCCAAATGAAGGTGCCACTGGCTTGGCTGTGGTATAACTTGTGGTTGAAGAAGAAACAGTGTCAGCTACAGACAAAGATGTGATATTCCTGTTAGCTTCTTGTGGAGGATATGAAGGAAGAAATGGAAAACCTTGAGAAGGGTAAGGAGGCATCCCACCTGGATTACTATACAGGCTGAAGAAAGAAAGAGAAGATAATGTATTAGGAGTGAAATTGTCCCAAAATTGTCCTAAATAACAATGGTCATGCATTTCCACATATGAAAAGTTCTTGTTGCAAGTGATTTCATAATTAAATTAAATTATATAAATTATAAACTATAAGCATTTCAAAAATAAAGTATGGTTTCTATGAAAAGAAGGGAAAATGCTCTAGAAAGCAAACAATCCAAGTACTTGCTGTAAAAAGACATGCATGTCATTGTTGAGTTTTCAGTATCTCAGTGACATCATTTAGTTTTGTTTCTTTATAGAGAGCATTTTATCCAGAAAATTTATGCAATTGGATGTTGTTAAGGGGCTTTTGATGTTGGCCAAAAATCTACCTTAAAGGTAATACTGGTTTTTTTTTAGAGATTTTGAAAGAAAAATTAAATATATACACTAGCTACTAAAATGTTAAAAAAATTACAAGCAGAATCATATGTAAGCATAAATGTATATTTTAAAGAATAGCAAATCATTTACTTGGGACTTAATCAGAAAGTGATTTAGTCAATATTTATTTTAGCAAGATGTTTTAAAATGAACATCTTTCCTCCCATTAAAGTGGTAGAAGCCAGCTTCAATGGCTCACACCTTTAATCCCTGCACTAGGGAGTAGAAGCAAATTTCTATGAGTTCAAGGCCATCCTGTCTGCAAAGAGTACTAGATCATAGGGCTACATAGACAGACCTTGTCTCAAAAAAACAAACCAACAAAAAATTGAGGAGAAATCAAATTATAAAAGAATCAGGATAACTTCATGCATAAACAAACACTGAAAATTCATACAAATGTAAACAATTGAGTTAATAATAACTCAATCAATCATTAGGCATTCTAAAGTTATAAAGAGGTGGGTATAATTTGGAGATAATACTAAATAACTACTAAAATATTTCATTTATATTGGTACTACTTTATTTCATTTAATGATAGAAATTAACCTGAGTTGAGCTCACTCTGTAGACCAGGCTAACCTTGAATTCACTGATATCTGCCTGCCTCTGCCTTGCAAGTGCTGGAATTAAATGTGTGCACCACCACCACATGGCTGAGCTGGACATTTTATTAGAAGAAACCATCTATTATGGGATTTTAAAGTAGTCTACTAGTGACACTAAAAGTTTACATGGAAAATATTCAAGAATAGATAGAAAATAATTTGAAAGAGAAATATAAATATATTACCTCTTCCACACAGTAAAATAAAGAATAGGACCTTAATTATATAATTAATATAATAACAAATTAAAACAAAACATTGGTGTATGGCTAGGAAGAGTTTGAAATAAATAAACGAAAATAGTTGTTTAGATTGGAAATAAAAACAGAGCAGTTGAAAAACAGTGTGGTAATATTTGGAAAAATGTAAGAGTCAAGTGCTCATTTTCATAATAGGATAAAAACTAATAGATCAAGGATTATACAGTTTTAAAATCTTGGACTAAAGAAAATCTTTGGAATATTTCAACCTTAAAGTGGGAAAAGTATGCAGGGATTTCTGTAATTCCAAATTCAAAAAATTGTAAGAGAAAATTTGGGAAGCAGAGGCATATGGATCTGAGAGTTCATGGTCAACCTGGTCTACAGAGTAAGGCTGTTACACTGATAATCTCTTTCTTGAAAAACCAAAACCAAACCAAAGCTGCTGTAATATAAAAATGGTCAGTGGTAGAACATTTCCCAACAAGCCCAAAGCTCTGGGTTCTATCTCCAGAACCACCAACTACCTAACTAACATAAATCAAGGTAAGAAAAGCTGAAAGTCATATCAGACATAGAAGGACAATTTTCTAATACATAAAGAATTTCCAATAACTTAACAGCAAGTGGACTACAGATTGATATATAACTTCCATAAAATTAAGCATTTTAAAAACAGGAAATAATGCTTGATTTAATGTTGGATAACAACTAAAATTAAATAACTTTTTTTTTATGTTTACAAAATGGGCAAAGATCTATTGTGACAATATCTCATACTGGAAATGGGCATGGATAAATGGGCACTGTATATGTAAGTAAATATTGGTATAGTAACTCTGTTAGAGAACAATTTTGCATTATTTGTCAAAATTCTATATTTGGAAGAAATAAAAATATTAAAATGCACAATAAGAAAACCAGATAGCTCTAACAGATGCAGTATCAGACTGAAAAGGAATTTCATAAAAAAAGATGAGTGAGCTAGGTTCACAACTCAGTGGTAAAGTCAGCATAGCACACACAGACCTTGGGATCAATTCCTAGCACACAAACACAAAAGTAGAGCTATTTTTTGCTAATGTTTTTTTTTTTTTTTTCTACCTGCTTCTCACCTATAAATGTTGAAAGATCTAATGGCCTCTTTGCTTTTTAGAAAATAGCAACAAACCTACAGGGCTTCCAGGAAGACTGGTGAAAGACAATGCTTTTAAGGTTTTTAGAAGGTGTTTTCCTTACTGGACAGTTGCTAAAGCACTACCTACATCTGAGATCCATTGTTATCACCTATTAAAGAGGTCAGAACTTTAAGACAGAAAACAGAATGGGAAACTAGATTTCAAATCACAGGAAGTCTTGTCTCTGACACATTAGCGGGTCTGTAATTCATCTCTGTCCTGCCACAATGTATTACAGTATTTCAGCCAGCAAAGCTAGGCAGCATCTTCAAGACTGTACAGAAACCTTTACACAGACCATCTAATTCACTAGGTATAGTTTCTCTTTCCCCATTATTGCAGGAAACACTGGCTAATTTTCAAAACATGCAAAGCTGCCCTTCGGATGATCATAATCAAAAGCCCACCAAACTCCAGCCAATGGTCTCTTTGTGCTTTGTCTTTACTCTTTCATGAGAGCACTTCTAGTTTTCACCCCTACTCGTCTCAAACCCTCTCCCATAATTTAGATTTGTTTTTCGGGGGGAGGGAGGGTAGAATACCATTTCCAGGTACTCCCCCCACAAAGGTCTACCAGCTACAGACTGTAAAAATTATGGATTAAAATAATTGTATTAGCTAAGCTGGTGTTGTAGGGCTCATAATACTATCTACTCAGAGGCCGAGGCAGGGAGAAATGTGAGTTCAAGACTCGTCTTGAGTCTTGAATTGTCTCAAAATTTAAAAACAGGTAGAAGCTAGGGATTCAGCCCTAGCCTGGGTAGCTTGGCTTTGAGTGTGATCCTTGGTGCCACAATACCCTCCCACAAGAACAACAACAAAAAAAAAAAAAAAAAAAAAAAAAAAAAAAAAATCTGCAGAACAAAATTAGCAGAAAAAGTTAAGACAGTTTTAGATATTCAAGATTTATATTGGAAGATTTTGAGACTCAAAATGATAAACAGCTTTAATATCCCCTCAATTAGAAAATTAGTACACTTCAAATTTAAGGTTGTGCAGTTTATATTCTATATATTCTAGATTCTCTATGTATTCTAGATTCAAATTTCATTTAATATATCTGATGGATTGCATAAGCATGAATACTTACTGTTAGTATTCAGGCATCTGCACTGGCCTGTCCTTGGGGTTCTGACAGGATATGCCTTCAGCTATAGCCACTGAGAGCACCAACTGTGCACATTCACTATGTTCCCTTTTAAAAGGGCCCTGCCCACTTCCCATCTTTCTTTCTGTTCCTCCCTCCCTCCTTCTCTCCCTCCCTCTCTCTCAGCTTCTCTGTCTGTCTCCTGTCTCTGTCCCCACCCCACCCCAACCTCTCTTTTCTCTTCTTCTGCTCCTGTCCTCAGGAGCCTCAGGGAGCCTCCCACTCCCCCACCCCTCATTTTTCCCATTCCCCTAATTAAAAACAAAAGAAAACCCTTCCAGGTAAACTCTGTTACATGGTGTCTTTCTCTGGAGCCACATTTTTTTTTTTTTAATTACAACACTTATGCTAATATTCCTAGCACCCATTTAAAAGCTGGACATAAAGACATACATCTATAAGTGTACTAAGAATGGGTAGGAGATGGACAAAAGAGGAGGATTCCTGGAGCTCACTGGCCAGCCTGCCTAGCCAAGTGAGAAGCTCAAGGTTCAGTAAAAAACTTCGTATCAATAAAGTAAGATGAGCAGTCAAAGGAAGAGATCCCATGAGGAAAATATCTGATATCAACCTCTGGCCCCCACACACATGTGCTCATGTACTTGCACATATACGTGCATACACATAGTAAAAAAGAAATTATCTCTAGAGTCATTTTAATTTCTGATCTTTTACAACTTCTAAACCCTCCCTTCGATCTTCCTTACATCTTTCTGATGGCATCAAGGGCCTTACATATCCAAAGCAAAACTATATTTGAGCTGAATCACTAAATCACACTATATATCTAGTAAAAAAGAATGATCCAAAAGCAAAATCAATAAGTGAATTTTATTCTCTGGTCATTCCACAAAGCAAAACTATGGCTCTATCAAAGCAGTGAGCCCAACTAGAGTAGTCCACAGTGGTCTACCAAGTCATGCTGGATATATGTGGGGCAACAATCTTGTCATTTTAATCCACCTTCTTCAGTTTAAGAAATGTTCTTAACACAGATACAAAACAAAACCAAAACAACAAAAACAAACAAACAAACAAAAACTTCTATATACCTGAACATGAGTGTAAGTCTATTATATAATAAACTAGGAAAGTTCTTGTGTGAGAGTGAATTTTTTTTTGCATATAGGATACAGGTGAATTTTTGTGATCAGAGATGTGCCAGACTATATTTTTTAAAATAACTACTGCAAGATTTCCAGAGCATACTTCCCATAAACACATGCTTTTCTTAAATTCTGCCACTTTAGTGGGAGATAGAGTCTATTTCTTCTCCTTTTCAGGCCGACTGTACTTGAAAAGCAGCAGAAATGATGTGCAACACTCACAGCTACACCTAAACAGACAGTACAGCTTCCACTTGGCTGGTCTGACCTCTCTCCATGTGGCATGCTGTGAGGAAACTCAGGCTGTCTTCAATGGTAATAGCCAATGGCCTCCATAGAGTCTTGGTATTTAACTAACAAAAATTGCCACACAGGAGTGTTAAGTGAGTTTTCATATTATTCAATCACACTTCTTAAAGCTATACCAGCTAATGAAAAAAAAAAAAAAAAGAAAGCAAAACAAAAGAGTTACCACTAGTACCTAACCAAACTATAGATTCATAAAGAAAACTTTCCAAGCATGTTGACACAGGTCTATAATTTTGGCTACCCAGGAAAGCAAGACAGAGATCACAACTACAAGCTCTGCTGGTTACATTGCAAGTCTAGGCAGCTGAATGTAACTGTCTTAAAATAAGATTAAAATATGTTGGGGATGGTACTTTGTGGCCCCTACTTGACACATGCAAGGCCACAGTCTCAGGCTTCAGATCCCTATGACACACACCCATATGTTACTATTTTAATTACACATTTTAGTATGATTTTCTGTCCATGCTAGTGCTTTACTCAGGAAATTATTGGAAGATAGTAAATCAAGAAACTAGGAGACATACTTAAAAAGAGAAATATAAAACCCAAGAAACAAATAATCCAATATATGAAAACAGCAAAGGAAATTTTGAAGAGAACAATAAAAGGAAGTTACTGAATGGGATCTGTGTGGCAGAAATAACATGTAACTAACAAGGAAAAAAGTGGAGGAAAAACAAACAAAAAATCTACAACAAACCAACTAAACACAGAACCTAGAGATTATCTGCCTGATATCACATGAACAAAAATGGGATAAAAAAACATACGTGGCTCAGCAATGGCTAATACTTAAGAGTCATGTAACAAACACACCAAATAGACTTATGTAGAAATCATAACTTTCACTAAGAGGAGAAAGGAAATTTTGTGACAGTTAAACCCTCACCTATTATAGTAAGATATCAACAGGAAATAGCCAAAAAGAAATGCAACAATTGTTCCATGTACCTGTTATCACAAAGAGGGTAGATAAATACACAGCTACAAGAGAAATACTCAGCATCCTCTGAAAACTTTGGCCTTCTGGGCATGAAGGTGAGTGTGTGACAATCAGAAGGCTGTCGATTTGAACATCAATTCCTTTAAACTACAATTATGATAAATGAAAATTTGTGCTAAAGTTACATACTATAAATATACTTACTATGGAAATGCTGTTGAAGCAGGAGCTAAAACTGGAGGATTCTTCCAGAACTCATCCAAAAGACTTTGAACAATTTTTCCAAGATCTGAGTGCATTGTAAACTGAAATTAACAGTAATACATAATGATAAAAAAATCCTCTCAAAACAAGATGACAAAATTTCATGGGAACAGATGTCATTTGAAACCAATGTTTGCACACAAGAATAAACAGAAAAGAGGGCTGGAGTGATGGCTCAGTGGGTAAGAGCACTTAATGTTTTGCAGAGGACCCAGGTTCAGTTCCTAGTACCTACGTGGCCGCTCATAACCTCTGTAACTTCAGTTCTAGGTGATGTGATGCTCTCCTCTGGCCTCTGTGGGCACTGTACACATGTGGTGCACTTACATGTAAGCACAACAGTAATACACATAAAATAAAAATAATAGAAAAGCAAAGAGCACCGTGTCAACATACTGAAAATCCATGACTTGCAACACTTTCTTATGGAATCATAAGTATTTGGTAATTAACAAATCAGGTTAAAACTCTATTCAATCAATAATAGAGCTAAAATACTCTCATACTTCACAATTTACAATAATTTGATTGTTCAGAGATATATTTAAGTTACATTAATCATTGTCACATTAATCTTGACACATTAATCAACTACACTAAATCCAAAAACTTCAGTCATAGGTTTAAGTAAATAGTACTGTCTAAGGAAGCTTTTAAGATTATTAATTTCTAAATGAAAATTTCAGTTCATTTTAGATTTATAGACTAATAAAAATGTAATAAATGTATTAGATTATTCTGAAATAAACTGCAGTATATACATACATTGCTTACTAATGGCGAGGTAACATATAATCCTTGATTATCCATTAAGTGATGTCTTATTGGTGGATAAACACTAATCACTGGTTTTTCCTGAGGAAATTGTGGAGGAAGTAATCTAGTAAAGGAATAACACAAACACACACACACAAAAAAAAAACACAAACAGATGAAAAATATATATATATATCATGTGACTTCATAATCCTAAAACAAAGTTACTTAGAAGCAAATTAAACTTTCACATTGACTTACATGGATTAATTCTTTAGTGACAAGTGCTTTATTATAGAGATATTTAGCAGACTTGAAATATATAAAAGACTATGTTTTGGCAATAAAATAACATAATAATTCAATGAAATATTCTTTTTTAACATGGAATGTGGGATCCATAGATTACAAAACTGTCTTTTCAGGATGTCAATGAATTGATTTCAAAGGTAATATAACTTGCTGAATGAAAATCTCAGCTAAAACTTAGATTGTACACTTATACAACAAATCATACAAAACTCATATGGCTATTTAGTGGATTATGGCTTTGGCTCTGGCTGTGTGTGTGTGTGTGTGTGTGTGTGTGTGTGTGTGTGTTTTACTTGTGAAATCCTACCTAGAATTACCTCAGCATGCATATACACCTAATGAGAAAAGGGATAAGAAAGCAAGTAACTAAGACTGAACTACTGTACTTGTCATCCAGCCTTCATTTATCAAATTCTTAAATTCTGTGCTAACCCTGTTCTCACAATGAAGAAAAATGATTTGGCTTTAAGTAAGAATAAAGAGCTCATAATTGAAAAAAAAATCTAACCTTTTAAGTATTATCAAATTAAGGTTAGTTTATGAAATATTTTAATAAAGTTTATTAAATGTAGAACTCTATTTTCCAAGTTTTGAAAACTCAGAATATTTCCCATTAAGTTTTTCTGCTCATGTATTGGCTAAGAAAAGTACTTCTTAATAGCATTATCAAAAAACTGGATTTTGACACTCTGAGTTCGAGACCAGCCCTGGTCTACAAAGTTATGGTGGAACCCTGTTTCGAAAAATAAACAAATAAATAAATGAATTTTGTTGGACTCTCCTACCTAAATCTATATGGTCATTGGATGAGAAATAAAATGAATTCATTTATATTGCTGAAGGTTTTATTTTTTCTTGTTTTTATAGCTCAAGAATGTTAAATTAGTTTGCAAAAGGGGCAATAAGTGACCTTTGAAACCAGACAATGGATTCATGTCACAGCCATTTATTATAAGTCTATAATATATCCTAATTTGTAAGGCTACTATATAGATTCATAAAGGTCATATTTGTCAGGTTAAATACTTTAATTCTTGTCAGAGCTATATATCTATCCTTTGATTTGTTCAGAGAACTAGAATTTAATAAGACCCCCGGTATCCATGTGCTAAGCAATGAGCTTTTATTTCACTAAAATGAGCACTATTTTAGCATTATAGTTACTATGAATAAGTTGATTTAAACAGCTTATGTCTGATATTAACTAAGAGTCAAAACAAAAAAGTTAGTTCCTATTACATAAAATACAGATTATAATTCTATTCACACATTAATATTGTCTGGCTATTAAGACATAAAGAAAAACTAAAAACAAATTCACAAAAATTAGAAAAGAATTCTACTTACATATTAATGTTAATTGTTAGGTTGTTTACTGTGAATGGCAATCTGTATTCTACATCTTTTTGTATTTCAGCTATACTGTAAGAGAAAATTTGGAAAAGACATAAAAAGAAATCAATCTATAAAACTGTTAATATCAAACCAAATTCTATAGCTTATAAATTTTTCAGGTTTAATTACATTTCAATAGCTGATATAATTCACATCTAGAGAGAAAATTACCATAGTTGGAATTATCAAATATGCAGGCAATAATATTCTGAAATATCCAAAGGGTAAGGAAAGGACGCTGAGGAATACATACAAGGAACACTCAGATTAATCTTAGACTGATTTAATATAATTGCATCAATTTATCATTAGTAGAAATACCTGCAAGCCTTCTGGGTAAGTATTTGATTCTACTCTGCCACAATCCAGTTTTACAGGTAACTGGGGATGCCTGGGTCTTAAGAGCTTAAACCAAGAAGTCCCAATTAATGTGTCTTGGTGTGGCAAGACAACAGCTGCTGGCTGCTTTCCACTTTTCCTCCTCTTCCCCCAAATAACCTGTTCTTATTCTGGGTAGCCATACTCGAAAGCCAAACTCTTTCTTATAAACTAGACTTTATGTCCAATCCAGTAAAAATATAAGTTAGTAGAGGAGTGGATTGGAAGCTGCTTACAATGCAACTACAACTACTAAGAGCTCTTTCTACCTTCCTGGCCTTCTTTCTACTCCCTGTCTAGATAGATGCCAGGCTTGCACAGTAATAGCCATTTTGAGGCATCCTATGAATGGTTGGTGGGCAACACACAGCAATGAAACAACTAGCTAGGGTCCTTGATAAGTATGCAATTGCTAGATTCTTGGTTTTGTTTGCTTGTTTGTTTTGTTTTGTTTGAGAGAAGGCTTACTACATGTAGCCTTGACTGACCTGAAACTCCCAATGAAGCCCAGGCTCCTCTTTACCTCAAAGAAGTCCATCTGCCCCTGCCTCCCAAGTGTCACCATGCCTGGCTTAAATTTATTTTATGTGAGAGCAAAATAAGCTTTTATCTTGTTTGAGTTCCTACTTTGGGAGTCTTTGTTAACATTCTCAGAGCAGAGCTCCCAATATAAAGCCCTTCTAATTTGACAGCCTACAAGCTCAAATCTAAGCAATACGAAGCTTTGGGAGTGCACTTAAATGTTAACATTTCTACTGGTTCTAAACGGGGCACACAAAGTAGTACTCAATCACTGACACAGTAGAGGACATTTAGTATTCACCAGTGTTTGAAAGTCCTAGCAAATGCATGATGATTTATTTCCTGTTCATTTTAGAAAGGTTATTTATTTTCCTCATTTTTGGACTATTGTATTTTCTAGCCTTTAATAAAAACCTGCCCTCTCAAACATGTAACTCTTAAATACTTTGAAAGGTTCTAAGTGTTGTTGTCTTAGTTATTTTTCTATTGCTGTGAAGCACCAGCATGACCAAGTCAAGTTACAAAAGAAAGCAATTAATGGAGACTTGTTCACAGCTTCAGTGGGCTAGCCCTTGACCACCATGGCAGGGAGGATGGCAGCAGGCAGGTATTAGCTTTAGCTGAGAGCTTACATCTGATCCACAGGCAGGAGGGAGAGAGACTGAGCCTGGCATGAGCTTTTGAAACCTCAAAGCCCTCCTCCAGTGCCAGACTTCCTACAAGACCACACCTCCTAACTCTTCCAAAACAGTTCCACCAAATGGGGGGGCTGGGCATGCACGTATGTGATTCTATGGGAGCATTTTATTCAAACCACTACAGCTGGAATGGAGCTATGGCGAATCCTAGATGTAAATAAGTTTTTTCCTCTAATGCCCTATGGAATGTGGCTATCAATGACAAGAAATAGCTAAGAAATTCAAAGATTACTTTTTTCCTTCAGTAAGTAGCATGTGTAGCACCTTCCAGCAGTATGAAAGCTAAGCATAAGGGACAAAAGAATCAGCTTGAATTTTCCTTGTTCTGTGACCCAAGTATATGGTGTCTTCAGCAACAGGGATTGGGAGCAGGGTGATCCAATGCTTTTCCTGATGCTCTGCTACATGGAGAAGGAATGTAGTTCCCTGTCTAAAACCAGAATATGTCTGGCAAGCCTAGTAATGGCCTGAAGCTAGGGCCTCAGGGGAGCACTAACTTCTAATCCTGGGAAACTAACTTCTCCCCCAAAGAGCTATGGTTATCAGTCCCAAGGCTACTGTGTGTTCAGTCTGTGACACACTTGAGATACCCTGAGTTCCTTTTTACAACACTGCTCAATTAGCTTCCTACTGACTTCACTCTGTTGTATGATAGCTTTCTGCTGACTCTACCACTTTCCCCCCTGCAAACTGTATATAAGATGCATACTTCTTAATAAACTTGCTTGGCACAAGACATCAGATTATGCAAGACTTCCTGACCCCAAGTTTCCTGTCTTCTTTATTTTTTCATCCCAGGTCCATCTACTCACAGACCTGTCACTGAAGAACAGCCTGATGGTCCAGGCTGATAGGGTTTTAGCATGGATTATGGTCAAAAGAGAAAAGTAATCATCAATCTTATCCATCTGTGAACCCTGCATGCTGAAATAATGACTGACTGGCAAGGCTTGTGCACTGCTACAATTTTGACACAAACATAATGGGAAAACTTACCACTTTCTGATTGTATTACTGTGCTCTCCACAACATGATACCCATACCTACCACCATTACAGGGACAAGAATCTGCAACTAAACAGGTCATAGGTGTAGGGGAGAACAGTTGAGTGACATGGAAGTAAACTGTGACTTACTGTTATAGGTATATATTGATGTATCTCTCAAACTTCATCAGAAGAGCTTCCATTTGTACTACATTGTAATTAAGAAAGAGACCTACAACTGACCAAGGTACAGAAAATAAAAGGCTAAGGAATGGAATGCTCAGTCCAAAATGGGACATCTGTATCAAATCCTCTCCTCCCAAGGCTCATTGTGAAAGAGGAGTAAAAGAGACCTGAAGAGTCAGAGGTGATTGATAAATACAAGGAAGCAATATTCTCCAGACATGAAAAGGCAGCTATACATATGAACTCACAGTAATTGTGACAACATGCACAAACCATATGCAAGCTTAAGTAAGACCAAATACTAGCATGAAGAGGGGAGGTGGACACCTAATCCCACTGGCTGGGTGAGGAACTACTGGCAATCATAGCCGCTGGAAGAGGGAGAGTTAGCTTTCTTTAAAAGTGTCGCCTCTTGGTTAATCATGCTCTCTCTGGTGGAAGGCCACACATCCAAGAATATACAGATAGCACAAACTGAATTTGATGAGAGAAATAATAAAATAAAAAGAGGGCACAAAGTTGAGTGGGTAGAGAAGGGAAGAAGTATAGAGGAAATAAATACAATCAAAATACACAGTGTGACACTCTCAAATAGGAAATAGCTAAGCTGGATTCAAGAAGATGATCAGTGCCAGGATTTTCATGATTCTTATGAAAGCTTCTCTTGGGGACTGGGTTTAGGATGACCCCTTCCTCCACTGAATGGATGCCTAACTTCCTTTATTCCTCTACAGTACCAAGATGTCACCGCACAAGGAATGAATAATGAATCTTCTACCAGTTCACATCAACCAGAGCATCTTAGTGACTGAAAGCAAGGCTTATTACAGACAGACTTCCTGAGTTCAAATCCCACATACACCATTTTACTTGGTGTGGTGGTTTAAATAAGAATGGCCCCATAGGCTCATATATTTGAATGCTTAGTCATCAAAAGCAGAACACTTTGAGAAGGATTAGGAAGTGTAGCATTGTTTGGGCAGGTGTGGCCTTGTTGGAGAAAAGTGTGTCACTGGAGGTGGGATCTGAGGTTTCAAATGTCCATGCTGGGCCCGGTTTTCTCACTTGGCCTGTGGATCATGACATAGCTTTCTGCTACTGCTCCAGTACAATGCATGTTTGTATGATGATAAATAACTAAACCTTGAAACTGTAAGCAAGTTTCCAATTAAATGTTTTCTTCTGAAAGAGTTGCCTTGGTCATAAGTGTACCTTCACAGAAATAACAGTGACTAAAACATCTGAATTTGGATAAGCAAGTTCTTGAACCTTTTCTTTTTCTAATGAGAGATGGTTATTTATAGTAAAAGTATCCACCTGCCTTGTGATGTTGTTTGATTAAGCAAGATCATATATGCAAAGGCTTCAGAAGCTTACAAGACAAATAACTGCTTAATGTGTTAGGTGTTATTTTTTTAAAAAAGCATTTAGAAAATTCACCTGAGTTGTCCTTCTCAGACTTGTGGCAATAAAATTTTAAGTCACTAAGATTTTCAGGCGCTGCCTAAATTTCTATTAAAAACAAAACAAAACAAAACAAAACAAAAAAGAATCATAGGAAACATTAAAACACAAGCTGCCAAGGGAGCAATCAGCAGCCTGCCCAGCTGTGACACATATGAACCATAATACTGACCAGCATGGCAAAATACCCACGAGTGCAACAGAGGCATTCATATCCTGGCATTAAACAACAGCTGTCTAATTGAACCTAAGGCCTGCTCAATACAAGGGAGACTGTGCCTGGTACTGGAAACCTGGCAACTACCAGCATTAGTAATGTCACAGGTCTCAGTGAAGAACCTACTACCTCTACTTTACTAAGCCAGGATAATTACTAATTACATTCTAAATACTCATCTTCATACCCACACATGAGTGTAGCTCTCACCCCTCATCAAAGAAGCTTCTCTTTACAACAGACAAAGACTATTAGAGAAAACTGGAACTGGTCAAAATGCAGGAACAAATGATCATGGGGTACCCTGCCCAAATGGACATATCTATAACACAACCCCTGCACCTCAAGCTCGGGGGAAGTCATGGAAGTAGGAGAGCAGGATGACTGTGAGAGTCAGAGGACCAGAAAATCTGCTGTGAGGTTGTATCTCTTAGAACTGACAGAAATGCTTCACTCATAATGCGGTGACAAGAAGTAATAAGAACAACACGAATACACATGCTAATGTAAGGGGAAAACTCACAGTCCATCCCCACCCCCACCACTCAGACAAAGAACTATACACAACCAAGGACT